CACATAGGCCTCAACCATGTCTTACCAAAATATGCCAATTCCTTCCTTCAACATATCATTCAGAAAAACCAAAATACCAAATACGGCAAAAGAGACAAACAAAGGTTAAGAACCCGGCGCATATTTGAACGCCAGAGAAAACTTTCACCAATAAAGCCGTTTCTCAAACAAAGAGACAACATCAATTTCTTAGCAGCCCTTGGCCACAATATCTCCCAAAACATAAAAACTTAACAGCCCTCCTGCTGCAATAACTCCCGAAACAGAAAATGCAAGCCATCCAGTATTTCGTCTGGATTGCAAGAAACAGAATACAAAACATATATATATATCCCGATTGACATCTCCCCTTCAAAATATCTCCGACCATGGAACTCAATCCGTCTTACAGCAATACATGCAAGGCACAACTCTCGAATACTAACAACGAGAAAACAAACAAATATCATGAACTTATCTCCGAAAGCCGCAGGTAAAACGCGGAAAACGTTTACAAAATGAACAAAAACCAAACCCGAACGTCTGCTAGAACGCTGCTTGTACTGCGACGAGGATCATGGCATCACAATCACATTCATCCCCCCCCATGATTTTCGACAGCAAGCAGTGCTAGCAGTGGTCCAACGATGTCAACTAAACCATTCGGCGTGCTGAATCTATCGTGTTTGGGGTGTCGGCGCGTGTACTATGTTACCACGCTCGCGGGCTCTTGTCGAGAGCGTGTTGCACAAAGGAGTGACTCAAGTTCCTTGATTAACTATTAACGAGTGACAAGCATGAGCAGCAGGCAAGAAGGACCTGCTGCTGCACACACGTCTGCATATACCCAAACCTATCATATATGCGTACCCCCTCGGATATCTCGGAGATCTGTATCCTGCCGAGTACATACACAAACACATGTACAGTAGGTCGCTGCACCTATTGCTGCTGTGCCCAAGGTAAATGTGCCCCGGAATCGTATTTTCGACACGGCGAGCACCGCTTCTTCAACCAAAACAACATTTCCCTCCCGAAAACAGAGACATGAGCGTCATGCGATTTCTCCGAAAATTCCTAGGGCGCAGGTGCAGCTGGCGCACAACGACCTAGCCTTCCCCAGCTTGCACCGCGGAACAGCTTGTGCGCGTACAGCTGTGGCCCACCCCTGGCCCCATCTGGCGCTGAGGCTTCGGGGGTATAGCAAATCAACCTATCGTTTTACCGGTCCCGCGTCGCGGCTGAGGCATTCCCGCGCGGCAACCCACAGTCAACTTTCTTGGCGCCGCGCCAAACCACGCCATACATAAGCAAGATGCGCTCGCGCCTGCGTGTGCAGCAATCTACGTGGCGCTCTCTCCCTCTTGCGCGGCAACTTAGACATTCACGTAGAGTATCCTGTAGCGCTTACCAAACCTAACATAGCGCTTACCGAATTATGGCTTTGGTCGGGTTGATGTGAAAATGCTGAAAATCCTCCGGTTGAAGCAAGTTCAAGATACAGGGGAGCACTGAATATCAGCAGCAGAGATGGATGGCGATATCAGGAAAACCACAAGTAAAGACTCCCCCGCGTTTACTCCCCTTCTGTGCGACTGATCCGGATCGTGAAACATTTATCCAGAGGTGTCGATTGGTGGTGGCGCGTTGGCATGGATGCGTCGTCTGTATGTACATGTGCGCAAGAAGAGGTGGGGCGTGGTGTGGCAGAGAGAACCAAACTCTCGAGCTGGCGTGGGCCAGGTCACGCCACAACTCCACCGAGATCGCTCGTAACGTCTATCCGCTGCATCGCAGGTTTACAACGTCTCTACGCCCTGCGGCTGGGCAATAATCTGCACAAACAGCAGTGTTGACGAGGGTCGCAGGTCCCGCAGAGACTGGGTACTGGCTACACCTCCGGGATCCCTGCTGTAGTAGTAGCTGGTTGGCCATCAGTTCCTCCTACAAAAAATGTAAAGACAATCTAGGGTTCCCACCTGTGCTTTTTTTGACCTGAAATTTTGACACGAGCGGTTTTTTTGACCCGAGAGGTTACGCCGCCTCTTTCGGGTCAAAATTTCCAGGTCAGATTTTTCTGGAAGACGTGTCAAAATTCGGGGCGAATTTTTTTTTGACACGAGGTGCCCCCGAAGCCCCCACAAAGCGATCAACTCCGCCTACCAGCTCGCAAAGCACTGCCGCACACCCACACACGTCTGCAAAAACAATCCCGGGAGCACATCGCACTCCTGCTGGTGCCAATCCGCGTCAGGGACGGTTGCGTTCATCGAGGGTTCGAGAAAAAAACAGGTCGACGTTGGTCCGAAAACAAGCACAGGAGTGATTGCCAACATAACAGCAGTCGGGCGCCCCACCC